TCTTTATCCCAGTATTAACTAAAAATGCAATTCAGCTTGGATATCCGAAGCGTTTAATTCGCGCGTAACTATTGTATCATATTATTAATTACATTAGAATACTTAATATTTATAACTTATAAAGAGTAAGTACTGTTGCGATATCTATGTATGCCCACGTCTGTGGTTTTTGTTATTAGTTCACCATAGTAAGTACCTGCTTCTAAGTATTCATACTTTTTATGAAAATTTCTTTAGCAATATAAAATAACAGTTAAAGAGATTTATTGCCTCATTGATAATATTTGAATTAATAATACCATTCAGTGAATTCGCCGTGTGTGCTCCGGCATAGAATGGGCCACTCCTTCGTTTTGGTGGATGTCGAAAGAAGCGATTATGGAGGGCGAGAGATGGGCAGCAGCGTCCCTCTTAAAACGTCTCTAAAAGCCTAACTGCGGTTGCCAACCAAGTGTGGCATCTACTGGCAAAATTCACCTTATGGGGAAGGCTTATGTCCAGCAGTGGACAGTTAACGGCTGAAATAATAATAATAATCCAGTGAATGCACACCTTTATTTCTTTGTACGTATATTGTTCAGTATTCCAGTACAATTTGTCACGACTTCGTTCATCACGGGGTCGGCACGTTAAATGTCAACATATCAGGTACATTGCTTTTTAACCGATTTCAAAAAGGAGAAGTGTGGTAATTAGTTTGACTATATTTTTAAAATATTGAGATTATTTAATTTCTTAAGAGTAACGGCGCATCAGTAGTACCATGAATATTATACTGTGCTGCCCATGGTGCTGTTAGTTTTCATAGATGACAAATTATCAACACAGAAAGAATCTAATATTTATTTATTATATAAATTACTAAAAAGTATTTAATTATTTTAAAAATTAGAGTATTAACTGAAGAACATATAAGAATTATATAAAAAAAATTGTAGATTGTAGGCTCCAAGACTTCAGATGGTAAAAATATATTTTTTGGTAAAAAATCGACACACATTTGGGAGTCACATAAACAGATGCTTATAAATTAACTGCATGGGCGTAGAGAGTTAATTAATGTTATTTTTAGGTTAAAAGTTAACCGCAATATATTAACAGTTTATTTTAATACAATTCCAAAAATATTTGAACGTCACATTCTTTACAAAAAATCCTCTATAAATCTATTACCAGAGGGAGACTTTATACAAAACTCGTTTGCTTGGGCACCTCTATCCCATTCGTTTTTCTACCGTAAAGCACTTGTATTTACATGGACGTGTTTCAGTTTGAAGTATGGGATTAGGCAGTGAATTTACAGGGTACAGAGGAATAACACCTGAGTCCTCAGGAATGGCTACGCATGGGGGGTATCATGGACGAAACAGTATACTCTGATATGTTCATGATACTGCCAATGTCTATAGCTGACGGTTACCACTTTCCAACAGGTGGGCCGTCAGCTTGTCTGTCACTATAAGTTGCATAAAAAAAATATAAGTAAAAGAAAACAGAGTAATAAAATCAAAATAATGTATTTAAAAATCTTCAATTGTAATAAATAATTTTATGATTACCTAAAAGATTGTTTTTATTTAAAAACAAGTAACTGAATTGATTACTTTCTGCTTTTTTTTTTTATTAATAACCCTGAGTGCCCCGTCTAGAATTACAAACGTGAACAAATTCACCCATTAATATTTTTAATGATTATAATAATTATGTTAATAGTAACAATTACAGTAAAATACGATGGCATTCTTTTGCCCATGCACCACATATTTTTGCTATAAAATTTTTATGGTGTTTCCACAGTGCGTTCAATTAATTTGTGAAAGATAGGCATCACAGAAAAGTTATAGACGAGAGCTATGTAATTATAATTAGGTCATAAACGTTTATTATTGACTCTTATGGCGGCAAAGTTTTATCATAGTAAAGTATCTATGGTTTTATTGTCTATATCTATTCGGATCTCGTACAATTTTTTTAACTATTGAAATATTTTGTCACTTTTTTTCATTTAGAATATAGTTTGTAAATGGAAAAAATAAAACCGTTTATTTTAATGAAATTTTACAACTATAATGTAAACAACATGATTATAATAAGTTTTTTTTTTACAATAATGTGGTGGCAAATAAGCATTTTTTAATGCAACTTAGAGTAGCAAACTAGCTGACGACCCATCTGATGGAAAGTGGTAACTATAGACATGAACAGTACCATAAGACATAACAGAGTATACTGTTACGCCCATCATATCCCCCATGCGTTGCCATTCCTGATAACTAAGGTGTTATTCCTCTTTACTCTGTAAAGTCACTGCCATATCCCACCCTTCAAACCGAAACACAGCCATGCATACACGTCTGCTTTATGGCTGAAACACGTATAGGGGAAAGTGGTTACCGTTGCCTATAGACATGAGCAGTACTATGGACATAACAGAGTATACTGTTTCGCACATGATACCCTTCAGAATACAACTGTTACGATTACTTATTCGAATATACAACCACTTTTTTTTATACCACTGAGGTGGCATACAAGCATACGGCCTACCTGATGGTAAGCGGTTACCGTAGCCTATGAACATATAAGTTATTAGGATGCTAATTATTTATATATTTATTATTGAAATTCGAGTTTTGTTCTTCTACTTCTGTGTACATTTTTTTTATACAAACCTATTAAACAGCTTACCGCAGTCAGCGTTGTATGAACAAAATCTCTTAAACTGCACTTACAATTTATGGACTGTGACAGAAGTTTTATGATGTGAATGAAATTTTTAGTTAGAAAAAAATAATGAACATACTAGTACATCTTCATTAAAAGGCCTTAAAAAGCAAAGAGCCTCGACTCTAGAATGTATTTTTGTTTTATTTTCTTTATTAAGGCTATAGCATATTAATATTTTTTTTTAGGATTTTGAACCAAAAAGGTACAAAGGACACAGCTCTATATCTCAGCAGTAATTAATTCTATTTGAAATTTACAATAGTTTTTTTTTTTTTGTATATTGTCAGTCCATACATTGCAATGGAAATAAATGAAAAATCATATATTGTTTTTTATTATCATAATTTTCGTGTGATTTGAAATATGAATAACAAAGTAAATTAATTTAAGTGTCCATGTAGTCTAACCCCTCAATTGTTGGATTCTGATGTGCTTGGTGAAATGTGGGCGGGTTGAGTATAACGTTTACCATAACAATAACAATGGATAAACGCATCTGATTAGGGGGAAGGGGATTATTAACAATGATATCTAACAGACCCTTCACTAGCAGTATACCCTAACAGGTCGACATCCACGCGGTCTCTCTGCATACTATCATGGTTAATTTTTGATGAATTCATCACAATGACCTGCTTTATCCTCACTCCTTATGTCATTCCTCACTGGTGCCACATCAGCGTATACTGATAGCACAAACGGTGTTACCATTCCACTTTCATCCATAAAAAAGCATCTGACTAGATCATTAAATACCATAGTTTTTTTTTTGATGGGTGAAAATGGTATGGTAACCTCGCCTGCGCTAACAGGATACGCTGGCGGAGCACCAGTGAAGGGTAATCGATGAAAATGAAAACAGGCCAGTTAGCCCATCATGATGAATTCATCAGGAATTAACCATGATAGTTTCCAGGGAGAACCGCGAGGAGGTCGCACTGGTTGGGTATACTGCTAGCAATGGGATTCTCAGTCTCCATTACTAACAATCCCTTTCCCCCATAAATACCATAGTTATACAGTTATAGTTATGTATACACATTTATTTATTTTGACTTACAAATTCACAAGAAAACTCATTGTAACTATATTAAAATAAAATAACAAGAATTCATGTAACATTTATATTTAATTATATAATATTTAATAGATCTTATTACATTTTTTTTATAAATATTTACTTATAATTAATACAAAAATATATTTATTTACTATATATTTATAACATAAGACATAATATTATTTTTATCATTATAACTAGCAAATATTTATAAAATGCTACCGCTTTCTTTTTCTCCTCTACTCAAGGGCCATCAGGAAGGGATTATTTATTTATTTACTTTTTTTTTTAAATATTTTTAGGGCTTTTATCTTCTTCAGGTATATCAGTCCTATTGTACCCTGAACTGATTTCTCCAACAAAACTTTATCTACCTTCCCTAGACGCGGAAAGAGAAGAATTAATGGGCATCAATAATTTACAGAGATGTTCAAAAATTTTTGGTTTAAGTTCAGCTAACATAGTTTGAATAAGACCAACATTCAATTTATTTAAAGTGTTAAAGTGGCGCATGAATTCTTCTCTTTCCTTCGTGTTAATACGACACTCTAATAGAATATGATGCACATCATATAATAAGTAAAATTCTATACATATATGTACATCCTTTACAGATTTTTTTTTCTATATAAAATTATTCTTTAGATCAAATTTATGATATTATTTCAATTATAAATGACAAACAATAGAGTGATATTTTAATTAGCTAAGTATGAATATATGAAATAATTATCACAACATAATCGATCGAAAGCAGTTTTATTAAGAAATCACAATACAAACAATGATTTGAAACAATTAATTGCATTGTTATTATCATCATCATATCAGCCATTATCCGTCCACTGTTGAACAAAATCCTCCCCCATAGACTACCATAAGGTCTTGAGCCATCTGCATCTAATGGCTCCCTGCAAAACATTTGAGGTCGTCACTCCATCCAGCGAGCGGACGTCCTACACAATATTTGCCTGAACGAAGTCACCACTCAAGAAACTTTCTTCCTCATCAGTCGTCGATTCTTCAAATTATGTGACCAGCTTATTGCCACTACAACTTACTTATCTCTCGGGCTATGTTGGTTATTAATATTTTAATTTAGCGGATATCATCAATTCGGATTTTTTATCGCAAAGAAACTCCGAGCATAGTTCTTTTGGCTATATTGGATATCCTCATTTCAGATTTTCTATTGCAATGGGCTAGATCTGTTTCATCCTCATCTATCATCCTTCACTGGTGTCCCGCCGATGTAAACCGATAGCGCGGGTGGGGTTATTATTTCATTATCACCCACAAAAAAAAAGTCCTCTCCAAAGCTCGCTGAGTAATTTGAAACTTTTGCATACGAGCAATCGCGTAGGACCATGTTTTTTTTTTTTTCTTCATACAACTTGCTTATCCTTCGGTCTATATCGGTCATTTTAATATAAAAATTCCAAATTTTATATTTCGAATTCTAACACACCGAAAACATTCCGATTTCAAATTCACCGCGTTTGCACACCTGGAACAAATAAACATTCTTATAACAACTCAATATATTATCTGTTATAAAAAAGCCGTCCATTAACTATGCAGTTACTCAAACCATAAAACGTTTTTATAACAAAAACTAGTGACCGACACCCATAGTATAAGTGCGTTTAAACAGCTTTTTTTTCGTCAGTTAATTTGCATTTGTGCTGTTATCTACAATCTGAATGGTTAATTGTGAACGAGGCGATGTTTAACCGTTAGAACTTATCTGATAGGTGGCTGTTTCAACACGCAACTTGTAATGTGGCCAGTACACGTAGCGACTATTTATTTCTACTGTACTGTCTTTGATTTGATTTCTTTAGTACAGGGACAATGGTGATATCAACCGGTAACTGTCCATTACTGAACATAGGCCTGCCTCTTTAGAATTTTGCCAGTAGTTACGTTAGGCGATATTGTAAGACTGAACGCATTTATAGACAATATTGTCTCAGTGTTCGCTCAGGACGGTGTGGTCCATGTCTATAGATGAAGGAGCTATATATAAACATGGCACTGTGCAGATCACAGAATACACACAAAGTACCATTTTGATATCGTTCTTGAGGACAAATGTTTTATGTCTGTATTTTTACTGACATAGGTATATGATAAAACTAAAAATACTGCTCTTAACTCTAAAATAATTAAAGATTGTGTCCCACAAAGGAAAAATCGACTTCAAATGTCACAAAACCAGTTATTTTGATCTAAAAACTAAACTACTGAACCGAATTTGATAAAATTTCTATGGGACTAATCTATAAGTGTATTCTTTCAGATAAAAAAAGAATTTTTCAAATTAGTTTAGAACTGACGGAGTTATGAGGTAACGAACACAAAATACAACCGAACTTTTATTGTTTTAAAGTAAATTTAAAAAAAAACATAGCTACTCGTCGCACAGTTACTTGTACAACAGCACTAAACATACAAACAGTACTAAAATTCTTCACAGTTTATTTTTTTTTTTTCACCTACCCCGCAAGTGACTTGACGCGATGGCTGATATTTCTAAGTGACTTGAAAAAGGAGGTAGTTCTCATTTCGTCTTTATATTTTTTTTAATGGATAATAATGGAATAGTAACCCCACCCGCGCTATCGGTATACACCGGCGGGGCAAAAGAATAATAGGTGAGGATGAAGCCTCATTTGAATTCAACAAGTCTTTATATTTTGTATATTGCTAGCAATGGGGCTGTCAAACTCTATTGCTAACAATCCTTTTCCCCCCTTCGTCTTTATATTATGTATATGCTACATCTTCGCCAATTCTCAATCGATTTAAACAATTATTTTTTAAATAGTTGCGTAAAATTTGCAATTAAAGGGAATTATTGTTGAACCGTATGCAACCGGCCTTAAATGATTCTAGTTCTTTTTTTAAACATCAGTTATTTAGTTAACGCGATGTGGAGATATAGTTTAATCGATACTGCTACAGTTTAGACGATGGTATTGTTAAACTTTTTTTCAAGCGTAATTAATTTATTTATATCCTGCTTTATTGGTACAAACAAGTACTAAGAAATGACATATTGATACTTGAAACTAATAGGTTTACTAACATCAACACTTTAATTACTATTAATTAGTTGACAGAAATGTAAAGATATTTATCAATAGCAGTTAAGGTTTCAATAAAGTCTCGCGTTCAATTCTCGGTCAGTTAAATTACAAATTCTTCAATTATTCTAAATTACGGAAACGGAATTATTCATATGTGCTTCTAGTTAATGACCACCACTTATTACTTCGTAATTCTTGGTAATGTAATAAATTACAAATTTTTTTTTTTTTTTAATTTGATAAAGGTACTTATAATTATTTTCCTTAACGTTTTATGCTGTTAACTTTGTTAATTATACAATACAATCATACCTACTTGTACAACAATTAGTCCATTACCCTAAGGTCGTCTTGAAAAGATTTCTCTTAGCAACAAGACCGATTTATTGCACATTAATTAATTGTATCATTATATAATATTTGTTAATTGTCCTGCTTATTTCCTATATTGTATAATGCAAATAAAGTATACTCATTCATTCATACAATTTTCTTTCACAAAAGAGTCAGGGACTTTGTTTTGTTACAAAATTAATACGGGACCATGGAAGGGAACATTGTAAAAAGGACAATTAAAATCGATTCAAAATCGGGGATGATACCGCGATACGAGATAGATTCTTATTATTTAAGGCTCTTACGAAAAGAGATGCCTTATATATTCAAACTTTTCTACGGATATCCTAAGAAGAGGCCATTAACCTTTTCTACCGACATCCAAAATAGATGTCGAATACATTTTTCTGTAGTGATAAATAAATCGTCGGTGGTGTCGGTTTTTTGTGACCGAAACTTTAATTAATTCTAAAAATGCTCTCATCAAATTTATTTCAAGCCTAAACAAATATGTATGGAAAAACACGGCAAAAATATTTTTGTTTAAAAAAAATAATCGCAAATTAGGTATTCAAAATTATAGAAATAATAATTATAGAAATTATATATAAATAAAAACATATACAGTTGAATGTATAACCAATATTTTTTTAACAGTTGAAAATACACTCGAATATCCATATTATTTAAAAGATAGTAGGAACTTTAATTATTCCAACGCTATTGCATGACAAACATTTTTATTAGCAGTGTCGATTGTAAAATTCAAAATGTTACGACACAAAATTAAACCATACATAATTTTTATTTTGACCATGATAAAATACTTACTTTACAGTAAATTTCACTTATAATTAGGCCCTACTCGCATTATCGTATTATGCTATTTAAAAATTTTAATTAATTAGTATTAATTCCCTATGGTTGACTGGGAGAGAACACTTTTAGCATTAAGTCCGCCATGTACACATATTTGTACTAATGAATAAATAAATAAAAAAAAAAATAAGTCCACTTTAGATTAAGAACAAAACTTTTTCGAATTTGAATATGGAATAATTTCCGCATAGTGCTGTTTATTCGCTATTTATACCTCTATACAACTCTTCCATAGACTAGATAAAAAAAAAACTATAAATTCTTATAAAAATAATTACTCTATTATATTATCGCCAAAAATAGTTACTCTATTTTTACTACTTTGTTTTATTCTTGTGTAGGTGAATCTGTATCATAGACCACATGTATACTTAGCTAGTTAGTACTACTAGTAATAATAATGTAAACTTATGAATATCTGCCTAAAAATTATAGGTGTTCACATCAAACTCTAAACTTTTTAACAATGAAAAATGGCTTGTTTAAAAAAAATACAAAAACACATGAGTGACAGACAACTGTTATATGTTGATATTTGGAACATTTTTTACACTCGGCACTCCATCAAGACATGTATTCTCTTTACTATATTGTCAGAACAGAATAAATTTACTTTTCATATATTTGTTTACGAAAATATTTTTTCCTATGAGAATTATGCAACTTTTAAAACACACCTTACAAGGTTTACCCATTATTTGGCGCACCTATAATAAGTAGTTGCAAGGAGATTAAACAAACAAAATTTGTGACAAATAAATAATTGTCTATCTACGTAAACTTGCAAGGAACACTCGCAAAAGATACAATTTGAATTCAATCTTACAAGATCAGAGACTATTTTTTACAAAAATATGCACTTTCTAATTTTTATTTTACGATACTTATTGGATTTTTATTGGACCATAATTGATATGTAATTGAAAAACTTATTTCAATTACCTCATCTAATTTCGCATATTCGATTTTGCATCATAAAATGGCTTCCACACACGTCCCAAAAATCAATTTAACTCCCAAAAAAACGTATCATATTTTGTACCGCCACCCCACGCGTAAGCGATAGCGGGAACGAGACAGCATTCTCGATGGCATAAGAGAAACAGAGATGGAACGACAAACAAAAAGTTGCGCAGGAAAAAACATGGTCGCGAAAAGCTTGTAGGGGTTGAATGAGAAGTGGCACATTAGTGTGCCCTACACTGAATTTGACTGGAGAAAAATGAATAATAACCACCCCCGATGGTGGGGGATGTAAACTTTTACGACCATATTCGAAGATATTTTCTAAAGACGAATACTTTGGAATATTAAATATTTTGTGTCTCTATAAAACACCCTTTCCAAGGTTATAAAATTCAAATACTTTCTGCTGTAGCATTGAATGGATGTCTCATATTTACATATCTTAAAAATGTTTTTATTCATAAAGCTTACATACAGAGTTTATCCCAATGTACTTAATTTAATAAACAAATATTCAATCATTATTCATTACAAATTAACGTTACAATTTACAAATATTACATTCTGGATATGGCTGTATAAACATTACAACTGAGCCCCGTGAAATCAATTAACCAAAACAATTTGAATACAATCAGATTCCCGCGTAAATCTACGTTGTTGAAATCAGCAAATTAATAGAATAATTAATCCTTTGTCGTTGACATATTTAATTTCGATTGAGTGATATCTGAGTATCAATTATTTACGTGTTTAAAACAATATTAGTTTTATTTCAATGTTCACGAATAGTTAAATGCTTAACAATATCTGCAACTGTTATAAATTTTTTTAATAATAAAACTTTACGTAAATAAAATAGTAAGACGATTGAAAATATAATATAATGCACACGGGCACGATAAGAGTTATTACCTGGCAATTTTAGCTTGCAGCTAACTTAGAGCAGGTAATCCGGGTTCATTAGGTATATTATATTCTTGCTCATCTTTCATACAAATCAAATTTCATTAAAAGTTTTATACCTACAAAAATCAACGGCGGAATCCTAGGCTATAAACGAATGTAATTATTAAATTTCATTAAAAAGTTTTATACCTACCAAAATCAATGACGGAATCCTAGGCTATAAATGAATGTAATTATCAAATTTCATTAATAAGTTTTATACCTACAGAAATTAGCGGCAGGATACGAAGTTACATTTGAATGTAATTATCAAATTTCATTAAAA